ATGCCACTTTAATTTATGCGAACCTCTTATCAGGTTGGTTTTTCCTTATTGGAGTAAAGCGGTCAGTACAGTGTTTAGTTTGCACTTATAAACCTTGCACAGTTTTTGAAAATTTAATTCACTGTAAACGACTATGGTACACTAAGATTTCAAATTTGTTTACTCTGATGGTAAAGGGTAACAAAAAAAGTAAATGAATTTTTCAGTAGTTGTTTACTGAAACTGAGAGATTATAACCATTCTGTGATTTTTCAGTTATCTTTTTTAAAGTTTATGAAAAATTATTTGCAAATTTTAAATTGAATTCTGAGGTATAGTTTCGTTGAAGACAGTCATCAATGAAGTAAACTCGGTTTAAAAAATAGCTCTTTTCAGCTGAACAAATTTGTCTTATAGTTTGCTTACAAATTTTTAGCTTTTTTTTTTCTGTATTGCTGCTGCAGATGCACACTGCTATAAATATATTTTCTTTAAATTTATTAATTTATTACCCCGATTAAATTACTGCCGGTTTGCCTGATAAACTTGTTAGTCTTAAAGTCGTCAACTTCTTATACCAAACCATATTTATTAATGAATTGTTTTTTTGGCTATTTTTTCAATTCTTTGGCAAGCAGCTACAGTCTTTTTTTTTGCTTTATTTTTATCTTATTAACAACTCCTCAACAGTATACAACAGTAAAAAATGAAAAAGTTTCTTCTTTTTTTTTGTTCTGCTTAGGTTCTGCTCTGCTTGTTTGTTTTAATAGGCTATTGTAATAAGAAAAAGAAAATTTTTAACAAGAAAAGATAAAGCAAAAAAAGAGAAAAAAAGAGGTGTTTTGTTTCGATAGAAAAAAATTTTTTTTTACCTTAGTCACAATCAGTTCATTCCAAATGTTTCCTGTTCGTTGCCTACAAAAGTTGAGTTCTGTTTGGAGAGCCGAATGTATGGTTTGAATATAGTTACAGAAAATTGGTACCATCAGAACACAACTGAGTGTTACAAATGTTCCCAATGTAATACTGACAATGGCACCATAGCGAAACTGATCTGCCGTTTTTTTTAGCATCAGTTTTTCGTCATACATTTTTGACTCTGTTTTTTTTTTTTTCTTTCTTTTTTTCTGTCTGCAAGATAT